ATGCCACAGCACTCTGCCCAGGGGGACAGCTTGAGGCTCTGTCTCCAAAAAAAAAAAAAAAAGAGTGAATCACTCAATTGATTCTCTTGCCTTGGTGCCCCAATAGCTGGGATTACAGGTACCTGCCATAATGTCTGGCTATTTTTAGAGACGGAGGTCTCGCTCTTGCTCAGGCTGGTCTCAAACCTATGAGCTCAGGCAATCCATCTGCCTCGTGTTTCTTTAGATTTTTATAAGAAATATTTATTCCCTTATTTGTGTCTTTACTCTTGTACACTCATCATTGGGGAAATAAACTGTTGAATTCAGAATTTCAGAATATTTTAATATTTGATTTGATTATTATTATTTTTTTTACTTTTCAGGTTACAGGAATTGACTGTTTGTTCAGAAGACAATGTGGATGTTCATGATATAGAATTATTACAGTATATTAATGTGGATTGTACAAAATTAAAACGACTCCTAAAGGGTAAGTTTAAATGTATGATGATATATCTGAAATTAATCACTAGGTCAAAAACCGGTATTGTACTAATTATATCAATTGTGTTGAACTGAAACATCAAAATGATTTTGTAATGCAAGCATTTTTGTGAAATGGCCAATAATACTTATGGTTTACTCATTTCCAAATCTTTGAAAATAATATAGAGAAAAGGAGTATTGTAAATTTTGGCAATGGAAAATTTTATTCAACTATAATTTCTGCATTTAATAAAGGGAACATAAGGGTGTTGCTATAGAGTTTTTCTGGAATTTTATCTCTTAAGGACGACTTTAGAAGTTACCTGTTTAGCTCTTGTAAGAAGAGTCTTTAGGAGAATGTCAAAGTTTCATTGCAGAATGGAGCTGGAAAATTGTGATCTGATGGTGAGAGGATGGATTGAGCCAGGGATCTTGTTTCTGATATTTCTGTTTTCAGCTCTCTTGCTAACTTACTGACTGGCTTTACATCATCACAAGGTCCTTTAACCTTTCAGTGCCTCGGATTACTTCCCTGTAGAGCATGTCAGTAGTAGTTCCACTTGGGAGTATTGTAACACCTAATATTTGATTTTAAAGCTTTCGGGAGTGCTTTACGTGATTATGTGGATTGAAATAAACTGTCTGAAGGAATTGAGAAATTCTGTCATAGCAATGAGGAGTTAATAGAAATCAAGTATCAATGAGTATCATTCACAAACTGAGTGTGAATACCTAAGTTTCATTGTATAAAAATTGTTATTTTGTTTTAAGTATTATTATACCCTGGCTAAATTATCTCATTTAAAAAAAAATTCAGGTTGGGCAGCGCCTGTGGCTCAGAGGAGTAGGGCGCCGGCCCCATATGCCAGAGGTGGCAGGTTCAAACCCAGCCCCAGCCAAAAACTGCAAAATAAATAAATAAATAAAAATTCAGGTTAATATGAGGGTACAAATGTATAATGTTTGTGTTTGTTCGGTACAGTCCCTATTGTAGTTGTGTTCCACACCCAGGAGGTGTGCCCTATGTCTTTACCTTGTGCCCATTAAGTGGGAGCATACCAACCCCCCTCTGTCCTCCCCTCTCCCCGTTTTCTCCTCCCTTCTCTCCATAACTTGAATTGAGTTTTTCACTTATGTGGGCATGTATTAATTTTCTACTGGCTTCATATCAATATTGAATACATTGGGTTCTTATTTTTCCATTCTTGTGATACCTTTACTAAAGACAGTGTTCCCATCTCTATCTAGGTTAATACAAAAGGTGTATAATCTCCATCTATTTTTATGGCTGAATAGTATTCCATGGTATATACATATATCATAGTTTTATTAATCCATTCATGGGTTGATGTGTTGTTTCCACATCTTGGTGATTATAAATTGAGCTATGATAAACAATCTAGTGCTGATGTCTTTATGATAAAATGATTTTTTTTCTTCTGGGTAGATGCCTAGTAATGGGATTACAGGATCCACTTTTTTTTCAAAGAGGCTATATTAATTTGTAATCTCACTATGAGTTTAAAAGTGTTCCTTTCTCTCCACATCCATGCCAATTTGACTTGTAGCTTTGGAACTTGGTGATGTGGGCTTGGTTTGATGGTTTTCGTTTGCATCTCTTTGATGATTAGGGATGATGATAATTTTTTCATGTTTGTTGGCCATTTGTCTGTCTTCAGAGAAAGTTCTGTTCATGTGTCTTGCCCAGTGATAGATGGGGTTGTTTGCTTTTTTTTTTAATTGATTAGAGTTCTCTATAGATTCTAGTTGTCAGCCCTTTGTCAGATATGTAACATAGAAATATCTTACCCCATTCTAAAAGTTGTCTGTTTGCTTTAATTATTGAGTCCTTAGCTGTGCCTGAATTAATTCAGTCTTAATGACAGATATTACAAACTTGGTATGGTATGCTAAGTTAATGGGCACAAGGTAAAGACATATGGCACACCTCCTGGGTGTGGAACACAGCTACAATAGGGACTTTACCTAGCTATTAGTCTTAATTCAGTCTTAATTAAGTCTCATTGTTTACTTTTGTTGCAATTGTCAATGAAGTCTTCCTCATAAAATCTTTCCCTAGGCCCACACATTCAAGAGTTTTTCCCATGCTTACTTCTAGGAATTTTTTTTTATCATTTCCTGTCTTGGATTTAAATCTTTTATCCATTTTGAGTCAATTTTCGTAAGTGGTAAAAGGTGCCGGTCGAGTTTCAGTCTTTTACTCATGGTTATGGAGTTCTCCCAGCATAATTTTTTGAATAGGGATTCTTTTCTCCAGTGTATGCTTATGTTTGTTTTATCAAAGATCAGATGGTGATAAGAGGCTGGTTTCATGTCTAGGTCTTCTATTCTGTTCTGTGTATCTGTTTTTCTGCCAATACCATGCTGTTTTAATCACTTGTAAACTGTGGACTTGTAGTATAGCCTGAAGTCTGGTTGAATGATGCCTCTGGCTTTGTTTTTGTTACTAAGAATTGCCTTGGTTATACAGGGTTATATTAGGTTTTATACTAAATGAACTATTTTTTAAATTTTTTCAAAGTATGATGTTAGTATTTAGTGGAGGTTGGACCCTGGCTAATTTAAATGTGAAACCTTATAATGTATAGTGCACACTTTTATTTTCCTTTGTATCTTGATTGAGGAATTGTCAAACAGTAATGTTTTTAATGGCTGACTTAAAAGAAAGAGATTGAGTTATATTAGCTTTGAAATGTTGAACAGTGCCTTAGTGTAATTTTCAGGATACCTGTTTTGAAATATCTGTTCTTAACATTTGCTTGAAACTCCATAACTATTTCACCAGAGATATAAGAAGGCTGTGTTTATATAGATAAATAATATAAAATTGTATTCTATCTGTATTGCTCTAGTTCAGAATTTATGATTTTAGGTTATTACTATTGTGAAGCCAAGCAGCAATTAAATCTATTTTTCGTAACTTTAATAAAGAAAAAATGGATTATTTTTGCTGTTGTTATGCTGAGATATGAACACATGAATAGCAATTATTTTAGATTATAATAAACTGCCATTCAATTTATAGTTGAAATTTGCAGGTTTTTAATATCTGTCATTAAACACTGAGCAGTTAAGAGACAGAATTGTAGAATCTGGAGATCTCAGTGAATTAAATTTAAGAAGTATAAGTGGGGTTTTATGAGTTTTAATAACTGTTCAGTGATATTTTGGATATAAATCTAGTCCAGGTTGGCATGAATAGGTATTTGTTTAAAATAACAGTTTTCTTAGATACTGTTCAATCTATAATAATTAATTGAGATGGTTCTCTATATCCAAATAAGAGAAAGTAAATATGTGGATAAATTACTTTCTTTTACCTTGAGGTAACTTTTCTCCATTGAATTTAACCCCCTCATGAACATGAATTTAGAATATACATTGATGAATATATAAAGTATAAAGCCAGTATTAAGTAGACCAGCAAAAGATGGTTCTAGGTGACAGTGGTAAAAGGAATATGGAAACTTTTTTTTT